GATCACTGTGCAGAGGTGGAGAATGTCAGAGAGAGCAGGCACAGCTGCTTAGTGAGAAATCCAATATTGACTGTCGGGATAGATGTCCTGCATATTCTCTCATCTGTCCCAGGGGCCGTGGTATTATGCCTCTCACGTTAACACTCCTAATTGGATTAAAAATGGCTTGTTATTGGGAGAAAAATGACTGAGAAAACTATCATGATTATTGCCTCTCAACAATGTTGGCTCCCAGAGCTGAAGAGCTGAAATAATTGTCATGGCTTTGGAAAATGTCAGAATCGGGCAATGGAGTGAAACAAACCGTTGCTTTGATTGATTGTGTTTTAAGATGAAAACAATGGGAGTAAATATGCATTCAGCAAGAAATGTAACATCAAAGTCTTGCAGTTGTGGCATTTATCTGCAACTTTCTACAGTTTTATACTTATACCTGTGTGTGTGTGTGTGTGTGTGTGTGTGTGTGTGTGTGTGTGAGTGAGACATGTACTGTTTGCATGGATGTTAATACATGCGTGAACAGAAATGAAACAGACAAATCCATCAGACGTCCGATGGGTTTTGGTTTGTATACCGCCAGGAGCACCCATTAACAGAAAATAAATGCCTGACGCCACAAAGCTGACAGTGTCTCATTCATACTGACACCGGCTAAATTACACATAAAAGCACTGATAACATCATCATTAAATATTGATTTTAAGGATGGTTGAAACGAAAACAAATCCACACGTAGTCTGCAGATGAGGGAGTTTGGACGAGAGTCAAATCACACTGAGCAGGATGGAAAAAAGATGGACAGATTAGAAGCAGAAGGAGAGAAGCAGGGAGGGAGGAAGAAAGGGGGAGAGAGGGTGAAAAGTAGAGAGAGGTAAAGGGATTGGTGGGGGGGGGGGGTAGAGAGAGATTTAAGGCTGAGGCTCAGAGCAGATGTTAGTGTTGATGATGATGGATGCAGGTTGTTGAGATGCAGAGTTGTTATCACGAGAGGCACTCGCAGCCTCCTCACAGCACACTTTCCCCCCAGATGTCTGCATGTGTGTGTGTGTACCTGCAAGTGTTTGTGTGTGTGTGTGAAATGAGAATGCCACACGCCATAACTAGGTAAACATTCTTTATATGTCTTGATTTTCATAAAGTCGTGGATGGTGATTCTTCTCATTCTAAACTCAGATCAACTGCAGCTGATCACAACAGTAAAGAGAAGCAACGTGACACAGTGAAGCAGAGTTTAGAGACTGACTGGCACAAATGAGGCTGATAAACAACTATATTTTACACTATCATGCTCAATCGGTGAAAGGAAACTCCCTTTCAAGGCGCTAATTGGATTGATTTGAATATGTTTTCTCACAGAAGAGAGGTTACATTCTCTTACAATAAACCATGTATCACTGGGCAACCTCACATCCCTGCAATAATCCAAATCCACCAAAAATCACACACACATAGGCAGCAGGTGGTGTGTTAGTGTGTGTGTGAATGGGATATGTTGAGTGGTAACCTGCTCTATACACTCTAACCAGATAAAAGGTGCAGGACAGAAACATGTCGGTAATTGATTGCTAATTAGTTCCTTTGTTGTCGTCCATTGTGTCCTGACAGAGCTTTGCCCCCAGGCTGTCTATTCACACAGACTCTCAGGCCTCGCAACATGGAAACAAGCAGAGCAGGTCCACAGACAGACACACCAACAGGCATCAGAAGCTGCTGTACAGGAGATTTAACAGTGTGAATGGGGTTGTTCAGGAATTCTCTCACAGAAAAACATACATGCAAGTTGTCCTCAGTGATTCATGATCATGTGAAACATCTCCTCCCTTAAGTTGTCCAGCTGCAGGCCTCCACCCCTCCTCCTCAGCTGCTTTTAGCTTTACAGTATGAGAGCTGCTGCACCAGACTATGTGCCATTTCCACTGAGTCGCCATGCCCACATCTCTCTCCCTCTCTCATCAGTGCATGAGAAATTACCTAATGAGGAATGGGTCGCACATTTCCACAAACTCATTAACCCGCGAGCGAGTGAGACTAATTGCAGCGTTTGGGTAATGTGATTTCACATCTGTTACTGCAGCCCAGGACACAGTATAGTCAGCACAGGGCTGGATCTGGTGGGCTGAGCCACACACACACACACACACACACACACACACACACACACACACACACACACAGAGGTAGATTCAGCAGAGCGACACACACACTGGGGCCTGACACAGGCTGCAGCACCAGCCTGGATGGGTGGAGCAGCAGTCAGTTCGGCTGCATGTGTGGTTATAACATTTGATCATCTGGTGAGAACTGTAGTGGTAAATATACATGAGACAATATGCAATGACCTCAAATCATAATGGAAACAGGCAATAGATTAAATGAAAGGTGGCTTTGTTTTGTCTTTTATCTCTGTCTCCCAAAAGATATTTTGAAATAACCAATTAATGGGTTTAACATCATTTACCTCTTTAATTCACAATGATATTGGCTTATTCTCTTTGACTGTAACTCTTCAGTGAGTGTAAACAACTTACAACTGTGCCTCAACGATAGATTTACCCAGGAAAATTATATTTTTCAACTGTTCAGCCTCCCTGGCGAGTTAATTATATTTTTTCCTCTATGTGAATTAATGGTGTGGCCTGGTCATTGAATGTAAATGTAATTACAGTGTGGTCCTGTGTTTTGTTCCTGTACGGCACACTTGACAGCTTGAGAAATAATGTAAAAATAGTTTCTTACTTAATGTTACAAAACTTTCATTTCATTTTGTTCACACTAATTGGGTAGAGCAGACACATGGGGTTTCTCTCTCTCTCATACACAAACACACACACGTGAAAGCACATAGAGGAATAAATTAATTTTTCAGGGTCTTGACTTGGGTTGGTATTTTCAATAATTCAGTAAATAAACGCAAACAAATTTATGTTAATAAAAAAGGTGGGAACCAACTGTTTAATGTGGGAAAAAGTAATATACTTTTGTTAATTATGATTAATCCTTTGTTTAACCCTCCTGCATTGTTACCGAAAGTCCAATTAGAAGTTTACAGGCAGTGGGACTGCTTATGGTAATGCCATATCTCATCAATTACCATCCCGTGACCGTAAATTGGCCTCAGCGCTGACAACGAGATGAGGTTAACACGCTGATTAATTTGAGCTGCTGTGATTTCAGGCTCAAGTTGACACTTCTAATCTCTGACACAGACTGTGAGGTCCGCTCTCTCTCATCATGGAAGAAATTTGATTTACTTCACAGGGAACTGAACGTGTCTCTGGGTTTGTGGACGTTAGACTGTTTCACATCAAGATCATTTCAGTTTTTTGAGAAATATTTTTTCTTGTTGCAGAAGTGATGGTGAATAATTAAATAATCAGAAGTGATCGAAAGATGTAAAAGCTAATCTGCTTAATACTGTTTGTCTGTATCGTCCGGTTGTGATGTAGCAAACACAACGAAATTAAACTTAGTAATACATCTGAAATAATGAAAACACCATCTTATAAACTTCAGGATGTATGTGTGTGTAAGATCAGATTTGTAACTAGAGAATTGTGGTTGTGGTTATAAAGAAACACACAAGCACTTTAATGTTTAATAATGCAACAACTGCAGGTCTAAAGAAACGAAGAGTATATGTCGATTTTCAATCAATTAATCAATCAATGAATCTAAATGTATTCGTATGGCCCATAACCACAAATTAAATGTTGCCTCATTAACAGGGGCGACATTTAACCCCTAAGCCCCTTTTATAAAACTGATAAATATCATTTGCATCACGGTCTCATGAAAGCACCAAATCAGCATGTTTCGTTATTTATATGTTATTTTTCTCAGCGTTTTCTTAAGGCACTGATTGATAGAAAGCTTATAACAGCTGTTTGTGTTGTATTGGGTCAGAGCATCAACGGTGTGGAACAAAATTGGCTTTGGGTGTTTACTGAAAAAAAAAAATCCTCAAACATATATATCCTGATATTTTCTGTACAGGCCGAACAGATCTAAAGCAGAGAAACACTTCACTGGTAGAATGTAAAATGAATTAGTCTAAAATAAGTAGTTTTGGTTCAAATTCGTTTTGCTTGAATAAAAGTGTGCACTGACTCAGCAGTGGCTGCATTCAGTTTAAAAGTGTAAACCTAATGAAAGCACTGTTTGGCTATTTGTATTATATATGAGCATACATTTATATTTGGAATCCATCCATGAGGAATACTGTGTTTTCTAAAGCAGTGATGACCCAGATACAACCTGGTACACACTGTATATTTACTGGATTATTGATATAATCTAACATCTGGTGGGATTCCATACCAATATTTCTATTCATGGGCACAGAATCAGAAAAACTTTCATTCTCATCTGGCATTTCTATCATATCATAGTGGATATAAGCTTTATCTAATAAAGTTCCGTTTTGCTGTAACTGATCGATTTAGTCTTTCTTTACTTTGTGTTACTTTAGCCTGCAAATGGAAGCTATAGGAAATTAGCTGCATGCTATATATAGCATATATATATATATATATATATATATATAGCATGCAGCTCATGAAACGAATATATATATATATTCCACTGTTGACACACGAACAGCCCCGTGATTCCACTTGGTTTCAGTGGAACCAGTCAGCTCAGTGGAGTGACCGTCATGGTTAAAATAAAAGCAATGACCGTCACATCACAGCACTGACATCTTTACGACCAATGGACCCCTCACCCTACATAAAACCCTCAGCCCCACCACCTCAGACACTGCGGAGATAAATTCATAAACAGGTCACTGAGCAATGGCCACAAACTTGAAAGGATAATTCCAATATTTTTATAGTCTTCCCAAATATAGTCCAAACTAAATCCCAATAGATTCATTAAGAAATAATCCACCATGGCGTCATAATGAGGCTAAATATAGTGTCTGTTCAGTGGAGACATGAATCATCCTTGATTTGACATTCTTGAAAATTAATTTTATTCATTTGTCATTTTAAATTGGTACAAACCCGTCAACTTGGTGCATTTCGATGTAAGATCAAACATTTAAGAAATGTGTCAAGTAATAGCACATACAATAAGTTAAAACATGTCACAAAAAGACCAGCGGGTACATAGCAAGAATGTTTTATCTACACAAAACATCCTAAAACATAGTAGGCCTACTGAAATGATCTTTGTATTTTTTTTTCCTCTTTAGATTTATGCTCCCGTCTCATGCAGACGAGACTGAGGTCGCCTTAAAAAGTATCTCAATCTGAGTGGGAACCATTTTCTCCTCAAATTATCCAAGCGTTTAAATCCACATGCACAGAGCATGGCATGCCCGAGACCCAGTTCAATAGGCCCACCTAAAGTATGGTGCATGTGTGTAGGCTCTTACCAAAACGTATACCCAATCTTATAAATAACCGTTTGACATAACACAACTTCACCTGAACACAATAACACGTGCGCGTAAAGACGCACTCGATGAAAACGTAAATACGACGATTGTTTGGCTCTCGGTAATTAGGGCCTTTAGTCTAGAGATCATTACAATAGTATTTATTATCAATATTTGATAAAATCCTTTCGAGATAACAAGATAAATAACCCCAAACTCAAGTTACTTTTTTTTCTTCCATTTGTCCATCAGTGTTGTCCTTTTTCTTTCTGTCATTACGTCTAGATGAAGTCAGTCTCCATTTTCTCACATTTAAGTCCTGATTAGCTCGCTCGTTCTCTCGTGTTGGTCTAAATAGCAGAGGAGGGGGGAACAGAAAGGGGGCCACAGGCTGGGAGGGGGGGTCACTAAGTGAAACTCATGGACACTGTGTGCTCCAGTGCTTTGCGCCGCAGTGACGCGATGCTTGTCCCTCTCCACATGTCACTGTCCGGGGAACTACACAGCTGCGGGGAGCCCGTTACGTTCGTGGGGCCGGAGAGAGAGGCCGACATTCCGTGGAAAGGCGTCTGGTAGAGGTGGGACTGCAGACCGGAGCCGTTGGATGACAGGCCGTTGGAGAGACCCATGGAATTTGATGGCGGGCCCGGGCCCAAGCTGCACTGTGACAGGGACTGCGCCATGCCCGGCTGACGACCCAGCGCGGGCGGCAGCTGCAGCTGGGAGACCCCCGGCATCCCCGTGGCCCAACGCGAGTCGTTGGCGTGGAAGGAGCACAGGCTGTTCTCCATGGCCGAGAACTGTGGCAGGCCCGGCGTTGGCAGCAGCGTCCCCGGGGCGCGGAACACATTGGTGGTCTTCTTCCTTTTCTTCCACTTTGCGCGTCTGTTCTGGAACCAAACCTGTCAACAGAGAGAGAGACGGGATCATGAGGCACCAGAGAGACACATGTCTGAGACAGAGTCAGGTCATAGCCTGCAACCATAATACAGGCAGAAGCATGTTCCTTACAGTATATGTGTTGGTGGGGAGATATACCCAATTATTACGCACGATAATCTTACCAAAACCTCCCCACATCCCAAACAATTTTAGGCCACAGCAGCTGTGTAGGACAACGAGGCCTGGTCTGACTCTGACCCTGTCACTGTTGAGCTGCTACAAACTGAACGAACAGGAAATACCATCTTCAACTGGCCTAACTGAGGAGGAGGCGAATCGAAGGAGCTTTTAGAGGCTGCTGTCCAATCTATGAACGTTATAAATGTAACATTTCTATACATTAATATTATAACATTAAGAGGAGCCTCTCTTCCATGGTATAAAATATACAGATGGAGCTTTGTAGGAATATAACAATCACAGAGGGTGTTATTGCTGCTGTCCCGCAACAGTGACTCAAACAATTTATCTTCTCAACATCTTATTTACAAACAGATTAACTGAAAATTGCCCTAAATATCATGTGGGCTGGAATGGTGTGCGTTACTTCAAACTGCACAATCCACGTGAAAATAAACCCCACCCGTCCAATGACGTGCGCGTGAAGAACACAAACACACCGAGCCACGCATACGCACGGTCTAAAAAACACACACACACACACACACATGCACGCGCGTCCCAGTCTGGCTTTATAAGGATTTCATCATCCTCGGGCGTGATTAATGCGCGCGCGGGGCCGTGAGTCGATGCCTCCGTATTAAAAGTGAAATCTCGCTCTCATTCCGCTCAGCCATCCGTGAAACGTCGCCCAAACCCATTACACTGGAGGGGGAAAGAAAATGCAATTTCTCATTCCATTAAAAAAAAAAAGTACAATATATTCTTGAGTCCTATTAAGACGTCGCTGATGGAGCATTTTAAAAGCGAGGCTGCATGGTGGAGGCGCGCACGCCCTCTGAAGGCTGCACCTGCGCGGCCTGCACTGGTGTTTACCAACAGTCTGCAGGAGCCGAGCTGCACCGAGCACCTCCACCATCCTGCACTGGCTGGAATAAAGAATAGATTATTAAGGTGACTAATGATTGTGCTGCTTTTATTGCTTTCAGTGGGATAATTTGCATGAATTTTACATCACTGGTTAATAACCCGTTCACTGTTATAAATAAGACTGAAAATGGTTGATAATGTGTTTGGTTTATTGGAGCTTTTGGTCCTGCATGCTTGTGCAAAATAAGCTCAAGTCAGGATAAAACAAAGATTCGTGTTTTAAGTCTCACTAAACATAAATGATTAATTAGTTTTCTTTAAGTGACACATATTCCCATCCTAATCACTTTATTAAAAGGTGGAGACATATTTTTTACTGTAGAATATATTGTTTTAGTCACCTCAATTATTTTTTTTTAATACTAATCAAATCCTATGTAATCATATTCATTTGTTGCACGTCCAAGTTCCAAAATTGCACACAATTAAATCTGGTAAACCCAAAGTATGTTGAATTTTCACACACGCCAACCACAGGTGGCATTATATAACATTTTCTGAAAATTCAAAAAGGAACTCTCTTAATCTCTTCTCCTGTCATTTTGAGATGCATGTTTTTGTGCATTGTCCTTAAAAATACAGAGGCTAAACATTTATTTTAAAGGAACATGGGTTCTTGTGAACCGTAAACAAGAAATGCTTCAGCACCTTGGACAGAGACATTGTATTGGTTATTAAATGGCCTACGGCTTCTTAAACAAAATACATAATGAGTTAATATCATGATAATCTTCAACAAATTATGGGATAGTTCAATTAGATATAATTGAATTAAAACAGTTTAACAGTCTTTTTTCTGAAACAAGGTGTTATTTGAAAATCAAACCACAACTGATTGCTCTGACTTTCCTATTTTATTCAGGGTGTTTTTTTCATGCGAGTATAATATATATAAATCCAAATATAGAGAGAAAATATTTATTGATAATTCTATTTCTAACAAAATAAAGTATCTTAATTATTAATTTGATGCAATTTATTGTCATCAAACCACTGGTGTGAGTTTTAGCTTGCTAAGGATGTGCACTCAAAACAGCACAATAAAAACATTCTTAGAGAGACAAGCGAAAAATAACCGAGGATACATTGTAGTGAATAAAAAATTATTAGAAGTGACCAGATTATATTTTACAGACGCAGAAGGCACATTAGTCCTTAATCCTCTTCACACGTGAATTCCTATTTTTGCTCATTCCCTTCCATGTGATATTAAATAATAGTGTTTTGACATCTGCTCATACTGGAAAAGATCAAATATGGACCCAAACCCACACGAGTGAAAAAACAACATCAACATTGCAGGAGTCTGTACCTGAACTCTGGACTCGGTGAGGCCGATCCTCAGCGCCAGTTCCTCCCTCATGAAGATGTCAGGGTAGTGGGTTTTGGCGAAGCTACGCTCCAGCTCGTTCAGCTGCGCCGGCGTGAAGCGCGTCCGGTGCCGTTTCTGTTTCTGCTGACTGGCGGACTGACTGGAGCTCTGCTGCGGCTGCTGCTGCTGCTTCTCCTGCTCCTTGCCGTTCACCGTCATGCCGGCTGAGTTGGTTCCGACTGTGGTGATGTCTTCTCCCGGCAGGAGAGTGGTTCCCTCTACCGAGTCTGAACCAGGAGCCATGTCTCCCGGGTGCCCCTGGTCTGGCACCCCACCACCCAGCCGGCACTTGAGAGCCTCCCGGTGCCCGAGCAACTCCGCAGCATCCTTCATCCCTGAGAGGGCGAAGAGGAGAGGGGATTTGAGTGGCTGAACACATGAGCTTAAAGCGCAGCATCTTTAAATGAGAGTTGCATGTTATAGCTTTGCATTACTATAAAAATATTCAAAAATAAAGTCAATAAAGCTTCAGGCATATTTCTGCTGTCAGACAATTTCTCAGAATCGTTCAAACCAACGATAAACAACTTAGCTGTTAACACAATTAACTACACAGTCTATGTATCACTTGAAGGAAAATAAAAAATAAAAGATGAAACAAGAAGTTGAAATCTTACACTGGAGTTTAGGGCCGGAGTTTACAGATGATAACTCACCGAGCCGAGCATCCAGGAGGTCGGCGTGAGAGAGCATCGCGTACCGCTCCAGGGCGAAATGCGCGCAGAAAAAATCCTACAACTTTGGGGGCAATTTAAAAAGTATATATGGTCTAAATGAACGAAAATTCGGTTTGTGGTTAAAAAGGTGGTCCCTTGCATTATAATGTCCTTTAGAGCGATGGGGAGGCGCTTATTAGTTGAAAGAACCCGTGCGCTTCCTCAAATAAGAGCCAATCAGAGCTGGAGCTTGGAAATGTCAGCGACGTGACTCCCCCTCCCTCTTCTTCCTCCTCTTTTTTTTTTTTATTAAACACATATACGCACGCGCACAGACCAAAACGTGCACGAAAACACTACAATTCAATTCAATCCTCTGCCATTCCGTCTTCTGATTTATTAGCTTTTCATGCTCAAATTATTCCACGTTAAACATCTTAATGTGTTTGTTTAATCTCATATATAGCTTGTGCCATGACAGGACTCGGTGTTCGTGGATGGATCTACGTGTACAATGATGCGGGGAGCTCATGCTAAAGGTTTGTTTGGCTGCAGGAGATTGGAGCTCACGGTGCAAAAGCAAAAGTGCAACACAAACATTATCCATGTCTTAAATTTCCAAATCACTGGGCTGCAGGCAGGTAAGGCTGCTTCAGAGATGGAGGAGTGATTTCCAAAATTACCCAAAAGAAAACCTTTTATATTAAAACAGATTTCATGCTTATGACTCTTTCCAGGCTTGTTTTCATGTCACACGATGGACTGTGTTTATGGAAGGGAAATAAATGTGCCAGGTCGGAGACATACACCGCCACACGCAGGCCTCCTCTCAGCACCACTTCCCTCCCCGTCCTTGGATCCCAAACACAGCGAATATCGCTCCCATTCCCCCCTGGCAGGTGATTTGTGGAAACAAATGGGGGAAATAAATAAATAAACGAGTATAGATGGATTTAAGCTCGGATACTAATCGGCCGCTTTAACTCCCATCGACTTTTCATCAGCACGGGGCGCAATTTAAGGTATTTAGGCCCATTTGGCTCAAACAAAACCAGACGTGGTGGATCCTGAACGATCGCGCCCCTGTAGCAGAGGTCTATAAGTAGGTCTATTATACAATTAACAGGACAGTCATTGATCTGCGCTCCTCTCTCCCTTCTCCAGACAGTGCGTGGTTTACTGGAGAGATGGGCTGTTGGCAGATGTCAGGGTGAGCCCGGTGAATAGACCACCGCCTGGGACTAAATAGGTTTCTTTGCAGCCGCACAAAGGAGGCGTCCGAGCGAGGACTCCTCTCTCTCCTCGCTCCCCCGCTGCACCACACGGAGGCAGCTCATCTTCTATGCTCCTTAACCGCAATCTGCCGGGACGCAGGGAAGTAGCCTATATGTGGCACAGCGTGAAAACTTAAGGAAATGGGGGACTGGTGCATGGTCCACTGAGATGGGGGAAGCTGTGAGCAGCTCCCGGAGGTTCAGGATAAGCAATCAGCAGCAGCAGCAGCAGCAGCAGCAGCAGCAGCAGAGGCTCGACTCGTTTGATTCAGTCGTGTAGACAAGGAGAGAGGAAGAGGAGAGGGACTGCATGTCTGTGTTGAGACTTGTGAGGCAAACACTGAGTGTGTGGAGCTGGGCTTGAGCCAGGAGGGACGGTGTGTATGTGCTCTGGAAGTTGTTGATTTCCAATAAGCATGAAAACAAACTGAAGTGGCTTTAAAATAATGATAATAATCTAAATTTAGGAATTAAACTCAGCCAATTAAGGTTGTAGATCATTTTAATTAGTGATAAATAACAAGTTCTTGCTACACATGTAAGAATAATTTATGACATTATTATATAAAGAAGTTATGTAAGTATAATTACAATAATTCAATTAAATTTCAGGATTATTTTAAGTGCATTTTATAAGTAATTTACTGGGATTAATTCGATAAAAAATTCTAACAGTTAAAAAACCCACTTAATAATAATGCAGTTATCGTCATGAGTCTAATATTATTGTTGCTAAAACAAATCAAACAGAAAATGATAAACATTTATATAAGATATGAATAACTTCAATAATAATAATAATTGTTTTCTAAAGCTGAATAACAAGCTCATGATAAATAATGATATGAAAATATTAATATAAATAATCTAAAATCCTGTTGTGCAACTTTTGTTTTTTCTACAGCAAAATATAAAGACAATGGTAAATAATTATATACAGATAAAAATAACAACTTCAACTGTAATTATTATTATTAATAAAATAATGTTTTTAAAGCCTAATTTAAAATGACTAATATGGAGTTCCTGTATTAGTTACGTGTTCAAATCCAGAGGTCGTGTGATTATCTCTCTATAGACTTTATTTGATATTGTGGTTTTGTTGCAGTGGAAACAGTTCAGATCCTCAGGCTGCAACTTATCGCTGTAATAAGAGGAACCCACTTGAAATGGGTCTATATCTCACTCAGCCTCCATAACTGGACCACATCAATCTTCCCCCCCAGTGAAAACACGCGCACATACAATCCACCTGCGGGTTAATGCGGCGCATCTGAGTGCGGAACGGCTGTTTACACGCGAGGAGACACTTTTAATGGAAGCGCACCAAAAACAAATGCAATTTTGTAGAGCAATTTCAAAGATCAAGAATTCCGTGTCCACCCTCTGCGCGCTTTTTTTTTAGCAATCAAACTGCGTTAAATCCATTGCTCATAGTGCCTCTGCAGAACAGGTTAAAATAACACAAGCAACAAGAAGAAAAAGCACATGCAGGGATGAGATCCTTTTACGCAACATGGAGCAGGAGGCGATCTGGTTATGATTAGGGCCCTTGCATCTGCATTCACTCAACTTACAGAAATCTAACAAAATCGATTTTCCATCTGCTCCCCAACAAATCACACCGTAGTTTTGCGCCGGTGATTTGACGACATGTCGGAGGAATAAGGAGCGGACCAATGAGAGCTTTGCACCCGAGCCCGGGAGATGCAGAGCGAGGCGAGGAGAAGTGGAGAGCCGCAGACGGGCAAGCCCATTAGAGGCTTCCCTCTCCGGCCACCCAGCCTGGCTGCACCGCCCTGCGCATCTCATGCCCCAATTAGGCCCGCTGCCCTCCGCCTGGTCTCCGGCACTGCGTGATCTGGTGCACAGAGCGGTAATCACGGCCTCAAATAAAATAATCAGCAAAGAAGAGCCATTTCCTTAACGAGGAAGAGGAGGCGTGTGTCACGGAGAAGGACGCACGGTTTGGTGGCGGCGTGAGAGAGTGCGTCTCTGCGTGTGTTCTTGGAGGGGTGTGTGTGTGTGTGTGTGTGTGTGTGTGTGTGTG